GGCTGAAGATAGCTTCGCTGTTAGCAATGCACATTTCATTAAGAACAGAAGATATCATTAGAAAATGAACAATATGTATAGTATCAAAGCAATGGGACTTGCTGTTTTTTTTATTAACAAGAATTCAAAACAAGCAGCCTCTCGGCTGAGATAGCTCCGCTGTTAGCAATGCACATTTCAATTACAGAACAGAAGATATCATTAGAAAATGAACAATATGCATAGTATCAATGCAATGGGACTTGCTGTTTTCAACAAGAATTCAAAAATATCATTTTTCACCATAAATGATTGTGTTTTTAACATATCAAAAATGATAAAAATATTCATCAAAATTAGAGAATTGAAGATATCATCATGAAATGAACAAATTTGAGAGTGGTCCACATGTGGTACCTATATATGTAATATCAAAGCAATTGGACTTGTGGTTTGTAACAAGCAGTCGAAAATATCACTTTTTACCAAAAATGATAAAAATATTCAGGAAAATTAGAGAAATAAAGATATCATTACAAAATGAACAAATCTGAGAGAGGTCCACATGTAGTACGTATATATATAATATCGAAGCAATTGGACTTGCGGTTTTCAACAAGTCGTCGAAAATATCACTTTTTACCAAAAATGACAAAAATATTTACCAAAATTAGAGAATTGAAGGTATCATGATGAAATGAACAATTCTAAGAAAGGTCTACCCAAGGTACATATACACCAAGTATCAAAGCATTCAGGCTTGTGGTTTTCAAGAAGAAGTTGAAAAAGTAAAACATTGACACGGACGACGACGGACAATCACTCATATGATAAGCTTCGCTCGACAAAGTCGACAGTGGAGCTAAAAATGTAGCATGTAGTGGCATTCACGTTAGAGATCTCAGCCCGTGCCGAGACTCAGGACCGAGTTGGCACGTGCCAAGATCCCGTAACGTGGACATAGCATGTGTCTAGTTCTATTAACACTAAGCTACCAGCATGTCTAACTATTTGAAGTAGTAAATAAGACCAAATACCTAGGCAAGATAAACACTGTTAAATAAACATGACATGAACCATGGAAGTTAGTACCTTCCATGCATGAACCAACACCAAATCATCAAGCTACACGTCATAGCACACGTTCCACTTGGCCACCCAGAATCCCCACCATTTACCTTACCATATAATTCAGTCTTATTTACTTCCTATGTTAATAGCTACTATGAGTTGCCCATATATTCAGGTTGTTCACAGAGCTCTCAATATAAAATTCTTACCAGTCTCGTCTCATTCTCTTCATATGTGGAGGACTCATGTCTCTTCGTTGTGGACTATATCGATCACGTCGTCTGTCAAAATCATAGTCTCTTCGGTTCCAATCATGCCGACTGCTGTCACCTCGATCTCTTCGCCTATAAAGATACATTCCAAAGCTTTCAACATGACAATATAAAATGATTTATTTTATTTCGTTCATTTATTCACACTTTTAATGACGGCAGTCCCATTCAGAGATGATTCAGTTGTCTCACAGAAAACTTAACTTTTAATCAGACAACATAAACTTTATTGAAGGGGGACAAAACACTAAACTCAATTTTGTATGCAGATGACCTTGTACTGTTGTCAGAAACTCGATGGGTTACAAAATTGTTTGAACAAATTACTGTCAAATTACTGTAACCAATGGAATCAAAATTAATGACTTTCAACACTGGTAACAGAATGATAAAAAATCTTAAATTCACACTAGATGACAAAAACATAACAGCAGGAACAGAATTTTGTTACTTTGGTATAATGATTACACCTAATGGGAAGTTGTAATTAATGCAATCAATGTTAAAGAATAAGGCAATAGAGGCATAATTTAGTGTCTGACATTCAATACTGAATCATAAAATGATATCAACTTCATTTTGCTTGAAACTGTTTGATCAGTAAATAACACCAATCATAATGTACGGTGCTGAAATTTAGACCGACGAAATATCAAATGACAAAGACAGTTTAGAGCAAGTGGGTAGTCAGTTTTACCGCTTTATACTTTGTGTCAGTAAACTAACACCAACTATTGGTCTAAAAGCAGAGTTGGGTGGATTTCCAATAAGAATAGAAATAACTCTAGAAAAAAGTTAAATATTGGTATAGACTACTGACAATAATATTTAAAAAAATACCATATACAAA